TAGCTTAATAACAATATAGCTATTAGCTTAGCTTTATAACAATATAGCTATTAGCTTAGCTTAATAACAATATAGCTATTAGCTTAGCTTAATAACAATATAGCTATTAGCTTAGCTTAATAACAATATAGCTATTAGCTTAGCTTAATAACAATATAGCTATTAGCTTAGCTTTATAACAATATAGCTATTAGCTTAGCTTAATAACAATATAGCTACTAGACCTGTATCTACAGCACTGACCTTTGACCTGTATCTACAGCACTGACCTTTGACCTCGAGCAGCACTTGTTTCTTCATCAGGATCTTTCTCTCCCTGTTGTAGACGGTGCAGGTGAAGGTGTCACTGTCTCTGTCTGTGGGGTATTTCAGGGTCAGACTGAGGTCTCCAGGTTCCAGCAGGTTTCTCTTCATCTCTGTTCGAGCTTTGTAATCCTGGTTCTGTTCTTCAGGCTTATCAGAGCCGTTCTGAAACAAATGGACCTTCCTGTTGTATCTGTCCGTCCACTCCACTGTGACGTCCTCAGGCAGGTGAACTGTGGTTTTGCAGGGCAGCAGGACAGACTCCACCCCTGAATCCACCTCCACCTGGTAGACTGAGAGGACAACAAACCACAACATCAGCTGCACTGCAGAAAATCTATTTCTAAGTCAGTCAGATAATCTGATATTTAGATTTAAAATCTAGTGGGACTTGTTTTGAGTGTGAACTGATGATCTAGTGCTCACTATGGAAGTCTGTTTGACTGAATTTAAGTAAATGTCACTTGTCTTAATGAGCAGTTTGATCTTATTTGGAGTTATTTTTAGCTACAGGGACACATTAGCTACAGGAGCTCCAGTATGCTTTGACACTTTAAGATCTGAACTTTCAACACAAAAACATCTTATTTCAACTTTTAGTCTTTTGGCTTCTGTGATATTATATTTTACACTTTATCTTCAAACTAAATATTTCATTTTGTTCACGTTCCTTCATTATTTTTCAACCCGTCACATTACATTGATTATAACAGACTATAAATAACAAACCTACTGAAAAAAGCAAACTATAATAACTCTGCTCATCAGTTTTTCAGCATTTAGTCAGAAACCAAAGTATAAGACTCATTTTAACCTGGAGATGGAACATGAACATCTCAACCACATTTTGTCCCAATCCAGTGAAAATGTACCAAATGTACCAAACTTGATGTCAGTGTATTCAGTAGTTGATAGAGATATCTCAGCAGATCTGTAAAAGTCTGTATTTGTTCTGTTGAGGAGCAGCAGTTCATCCATCTTGTTGGCCAGAGAGCGGACATTCTCCAGGTGTATTGATGGAAGCGCAGTACAAATTGTGTTGTTAAGATTTCAATACTGTGGCATCCTGAACTTCTCTGGACTGTACTCACCAATTTTGAAGTTGTTCTGATCAACTCGCTCTAAGTAGTTTGTTAAAATAGAAGCCCTGAAATTGCCGGATGGCCTCACAGTTTGACATTAAATTCAAAATGGCTGAGTTCCTGTTGGGTTTAGGATATGGCTCAAAGAGGCTTTTTTGTATGTCCCAACATGATGTTCGTGAAACAGGACACCAGGGCTGGTTTTTTAAAAGTTTGTAGGAGGCACAATCAAGCCATTTTGACACACCCACAGGCAACACCCAGATGAAATTTAAAATGCTGCCATGTGGGACGTGTGTGCCAAGTTTCATGAGTTTTTGAATCTGTTTAGCCCCCAAAATGTGATCAAATGTTAAAACAACAAGGTGATATTCGCCATGTCGCTATGGCAACATGGTTCAATAACAATTCACAAGATTCATAAGATGTCATTGTCAACAGTCTAAGGACCAAATTTTGGCTGCATGTAGTCAATCTGCTAGGAGAAATACATAAAAGTGTAATAAATTATATTTCTGGTTACCACTAGGTGGCGCTACCACTTTTACTGAATATTATCACACAGATGTGTTCAGGCTTATCAGACACGTGCATTATGGTGCAGATTGGACAACGAAGTTATGACAACTTCTTGTTTCATGGCGAAACGTCAATTCTTGGCGCCACAGCAAAGACTCAGATTCAACTCACAAGCAGCACTACTTCTAATTGTGATGGTGTTTACATCATCCTGACCAAATTTGAAGTTGATCAGATCAATTCTACGGTGGCCGACAAGGGCAAACGCACTGCAAATGGCAAAATGCTGTAAACACGAGAATAATGTAAATCCAAAAACACACAAACACATAAAACAAATGCAACAGAAAAATGCTCCAAATACCAAAAACACACAAAACAACAAAACAACTGCGAGAGAAACGCTGCAAATTCGCTCGACAAAACGGAAGTGCGCCAGGCCACTAGGGGGACCCGACCTGAGGGACCAGACCCGAAAGACATGAAGAAGAAGAAGAAAGTTAGCTAAGTTTTGGAGAAGACAGTAAAAAGGTAGAGGTTGATATGACTATGAACAGACTATTTTCACTGTCTCTTTATGCTGCAGCTGCTCAGGTAGACAGTGTGACCCTCGGTTTATAATCCCAGACCTCACTGTCCCATACTTCTATGAAAACCACAAAACCGTCAAGGAGCAGTCAAGGAGCAAAGACGATAACCATCGGCATTATGGGTAATGTAGTAGTAACATACCTGACATGAAATACTGCCGAAAATGCACCAAAAGACCCCCAGAAACAATAAGACCAAGAACCAGGAGAACCAGGAGAGCTTTGGCCCAGGGTGGAAATCGTTCTGTGGGGAACAGAAACATAAAGATCATGACCTCTGACCTGTATCTACAGTACTGACCTCTGACCTGTATCTACAGTACTGACCTCTGACCTATATATATTAGTTTTTAGGGTTTGTTGCTGACCTTTGACCTGCAGCTGTACTTCTCTCACTCTCCGTTGTCCTCCTGATGCTCTGGCGGTGCAGGTGTAGGTGCCGCTGTCAGAGAGGTGGAGTTTTGTCAGCTTGAGGCTGAGGTCTCCAGTTTCCAGAGCGTCAGCCATCATGGATGTTCGGCTGCTGTAAAGCTGGTTTTGGTCTTTAAGTTCATCACCTTCCTGCTGATGCTGGTGGACGGTTGGAGGATTGAGATCGTAGCGGCTCCACACCACTGTAGGGTCGTCCATGTCAAAAGTTTGAAACTCACAGGGCAGCAGGACAAACTCATCCCAGTCATACAGCTCCACAGCTGAGGCATGCTGGTAAACTGTGAGGTCACACAGACAGAGAGGTTTAATCACAGCAGCCTTATTTCAGGTCTTATTGCTTCTGGATCTGGTCGTGTTTGTGATTGGACTTTGAAACCACATGAGCACAGTTTAATACCAATAAGACAAATAACAGAACAAACTGATAGACTGAATTCATTGATTCAACATGGTGTTTAAATTAGTGTGTTAACTGTCTGAACTCCTCTTTCCTCACATCTTTTCCTTCTATCTCTCCATCACGTCTTCAGTGGGAGCCACTGATACTCAGGGAGAAGACAGGACTGATGGACATGTGGAGACATTCATACAGATGTGACACACCCTGAGTGTTTGGGACCATCTGTGTCCATCTTGTACTAAATGATGTTCAGTTGTTGAAGCACTGTAACAAAGTTAATGTCCTCTAAAGTGTGTGTAGCCTGTAAACTAGAAAACTGACCTCTGACCCGTATCTAAAGCTGACCTTTCTACAGACCTATATCTAAAGCTGTGGTTCCAAGCCCTTTCCTTTGAGGGACCCCTTTTCTATCATTTAGTAAACTGACAATCCCTGACTGAGTGACATATTTTATTAAAAACTGTACAATTTAGCCAAACAGTGAATTCACTCACTGCAAGAAGCTTGTGTAAAACAGGTGATTTAGATGAATTTTGAGCAGATTATTTCCTGTTTAGGGAACTTTTTATATGATTCTCTGTCTGTTTTATATATTTATTCATTATTTGTAATAATCGTACAACTTAATATGCTTCTTTTCAGACAAATTCAGTGTTTTCTTGTCCCTGATGCTTGGTTCTATCAGACAATTAACTTAAAAATATATATTTAATTTTCTTCTGCTTCTGCTTATGCTGAGATCTAGGCCTACTGTGTATATTTTCATTTAGTTTTCTTACACGCCATAAAGTCAAGAAAGCCTCGCCCCCATTAAACTTTTAGGACCCTCAGTTTGGGAATCACTAATCTAGAGTAGGTTTTAAGGTTTGTTGCTGACCTTTGACCTTCAGCTGTACTTCTCTCACTCTCTGTTTTCCTCTTGATGATCTGACGGTGCAGGTGTAGGTGCCGCTGTCAGAGAGGCGGAGTTTTGTCAGATTGAGGCTGAGGTCTCCAGTTTCCAGAGCGTCAGCCATCATGGATGTTCGGCCGCTGTAAAGCTGGTTTTGGTAAATAAATTCATCACCTTCCTGCTGACGCTGGTGGACGGTTGGAGGATTGAGATCGTAGCGGCTCCACACCACTGAGGGGTCGTCCATGTCAAATGTGTGATACTCACAGGGCAGCAGGACAAACTCCTCCCCCTCATACAGATCCACAGCTGAGGCATGCTGGGAAACTGTGAGGTCACACAGACAGAGAGGTTCAATCACAGCAGCCTTATTTCAGGTCTTATTGCTCCTGGATCCTCAATCTGCTCCTGTTTGTGATCGGACTCACAAACAGGAGCAATAACAGAACAAACTGATAGACTGACTGTATTGATTCAACATGGTGTTTAAATGAGTGTGTTAGGATCATTAATACTATTGGTAATATAAGCTATAAGAATGTGAACAACCTCCAGAGATATAATCCTGAAGAACAGAACTGAGGACAGTCTGACTGTACAGTCTTCTACATTCATCATGATTTACACAAACATTGAAAATATGCTGCCTTTAATATGTTCTTCATGTTTTTATTGGAGTTTAAACAGACTAATGAAGTGAAGATGAAAGAAATACAGATTAAAGACATGATGTTGGACTAATGATCAGATCAGAGGGAGGAAGGTTATCTTACCGTGCACGA